GGATGGACGCATAAAACATCCTCGTTAGCGGCTTACTAAGTTCACACTTGCACTCTTTAAGTACACTTGAGAATAGTTCACACTTGCACTCTTTAAGTACACTTGAGAATAGTTCACACTTGCACTCTTTAAGTACACTTGAGAATAGTTCACACTTGCACTCTTTAAGTACACTTGAGAATAGTTCACACTTACACTCTTTAAGTACACTTGAGAATAGTTCACACTTGCACTCTTTAAGTACACTTGAGAATAGTTCACACTTGCACTCTTTAAGTACACTTGAGAATAGTTCACACTTGCACTCTTTAAGTACACTTGAGAATAGTTCACACTTGCACTCTTTAAGTACACTTGAGAATAGTTCACACTTACACTCTTTAAGTACACTTGAGAATAGTTCACACTTGCACTCTTTAAGTACACTTGAGAATAGTTCACACTTACACTCTTTAAGTACACTTGAGAATAGTTCACACTTACACTCTTTAAGTACACTTGAAAATAGTTCACACTTACACTCTTTAAGTACACTTGAGAATAGTTCACACTTACACTCTTTAAGTACACTTGAGAATAGTTCACACTTACACTCTTTAAGTACACTTGAAAATAGTTCACACTTACACTCTTTAAGTACACTTGAAAATAGTTCACACTTACACTCTTTAAGTACACTTGAAAATAGTTCACACTTACACTCTTTAAGTACACTTGAGAATAGTTCACACTTACACTCTTTAAGTACACTTGAGAATAGTTCACACTTACACTCTTTAAGTACACTTGAAAATAGTTCACACTTACACTCTTTAAGTACACTTGAAAATAGTTCGTCAGGGCCAACGGACTTAATTTTAGTTTGTCTAATTGTTTATTAACCATGTCAGTCGTTAATGTAATATTACTTAATTTGTTTTCTTCAGTGCCTGAATAATTATTGATTACTGGGATATCATTTAAATCTTCTTGTGTGAAAACTGACAAGAAATAACAATTAATAAAAAGAGAGCAAATTTCTTGTTCATTATCAGTAGACGGTCCACACCTAGTTTTCAATGGTTCTATTTTTTCCCTGATCTTTGTCCTATAAACTTGAAAGAACCGTCTTGGATTTGTTTTTGATTCTCTGGCTACATTAATTTCATAGTCGCGTGTAGTCTTCCTAAACCCCTTCTTTACCTCTTTTAAAATGAACGAATTGGTCAATAAGGATAACCTCTCCCCTTCTGATACGCCTATAAATTCTTTTTTTCTCTCCTAATAGATGTTTTATTCTCCTATTCATTCATTTTTATTCGTACTGATTTGACCTAATTTCTCTCTGGAAAATATACTGCAGGACCCTGCATATACAGCACGTACAGGAGGGCCCCGCATATACAGCACGTTCAGGAGGGCCCCGCATATACAGCACGTTCAGGAGGGCCCCGCTTACAGCACGTACAGGAGGGCCCCGCATATACGAAAATCGGGGACTTTTACTGTATTATCCATCAGTAGCAACAGAACACAACCACTGACACTAGAACACCACCATTGGCTCCAGAACACCACCACTGACACCAGAACACAATCACTGACACCAGAACATCACCACTGGCACCAGAACACCTCCACTGGCGCCAGAACACCACCACTGACACCAGAACACCACAACTGACACCAGAACACCACTTACACCAGAACACCACTTACACCAGAACACCACCACTGACACCAGAGCACCACCACCACTGGCGCCACAACACTACCACTGACACCAGAACACCACCATTGGTGCCAGAACACTACCACTGATACCAGAACACCACCACTGACGCCAGAACACCACTGACACCAGAACACCACCACTGACACCAGAACACCACCACTGACACCAGAACACCTCCACTGGCGCCAGAACACCACCACTGACACCAGAACACCACCACTGACACCAGAACACCACCACCACTGGCACCAGAACACCACCACCACTGGCGCCAGAACACCACCACTGACACCAGAACACCACCACTGACATCAGAACACCACCATTGGTGCCAGAACACCACCACTGACACCAGAGCACCACCACTGACACCAGAACACCATCCCTAACACCAGAGCACCACCACTGGCATTAGAACACCACCACTGACATTAGAACACCACCACTGACATTAGAACACCACCACTGACATTAGAACACACACCACTGACACCAGAACACCACCACTGACATTAGAACACCACCACTGACATTAAAACACCACCACTGACACCAGAACACCACCACTGACAATTAGAACACCACCACTGACACCAGAACACCACCACTGACATTAGAACACCACCACTGACATTAGAACACCACCACTGACACCAGAACACCACCACTGACATTAGAACACCACCACTGACATTAGAACACCACCACTGACATTAGAACACCACCACTGACATTAGAACACCACCACTGACATTAGAACACCACCACTGACATTAGAACACCAACACTGACATTAGAACACCACCACTGACATTAGAACACCACCACTGACACCATTTATAAACAACCATCACAATTTTTATACCTTGTACAGCCTATAGTTTTCGAATCAGTGTTCCTTTTTTTATCGGAGTCAAATTATTACAGCGTTCGCATTTTTTTGATGTGGAAAACATTACTCGCCCAGAATTCCAGCATACTATTTTGTATGGATTGTGACTGTTTGAAATTAAATTAATATGCATTTTTTTCCCTATTTACCCCCCCCCCCAACACTGAATAAGCTTTCGTATGTTTGTCAGTACAGGAAATGTGTGTGTCTGAAGCTCCAACCATCTTCATCACTCACTTGTGTGTTTGTCGCTACAGCAGTGGTTCTTAACCTTTTTCGTCCTATGACCCCCCGAGACTCTTCACGGTATTACCATGACCCCTATAATAAGTTCTGAAATAGTGAACCTTGTGGTAAGGTAAGATCAAACAAGATGATAGGAAGACCCTGGTTTATTGAAAATGCCACAGAACAAAAACCTTCAAAAATTCCACATAGCTTCTACAAATGCCAGAACACTGCAAATTCCACAGAACTATTGATCATACAAAACTTACTTCTCATTACTCAGTGGGAGGGTTGAAATTGTTTTGCAGCCGTAAGTCTATTAAAGCGAGGAGCAGTGCTCGCCAGGCAACACCTATGTCAGCATTGATCACAAACCTACCGCGTTCCTTCGTTTTCAGTTTTACCATTGCTGAGAATTCAACCTCGCATCGAGAGAATGGGACAGCCGTCTTGCACTTTTTTCTAAAATGTCGGGAGCTCAGTAAAGTCGACTTTCAGCTGAGAATCCTCACGAATTTGATGAAATTCTACCTTAGCAGTAACTGAAAAGGGTCTGTAGATCCACTCATCAGTACAGCGGTCGTCCAGTCCTGGAAAGTAACTTTCGGTGGCGTCATTCATTGCCAAAAGATGAGCTGAGATCTCCACACGGAAATTGCATTCAGCATCCGGCATAGAATCCAGGAGAGTTGTCATCTCAGTGAAGAAAGTTGTGTCACTGTCCTCAACTCTTTTCTGGTAAAGTTGACTCTTACACTTGAATGTTGTCACTTTGTCACGAGCTGTGTGCAGCATTGTAAGGTTTCCATGGAGTGAAATATTCAGGGAATTCACTTCAGAGAAGAAATCTGCCAAGTAGGCAACCTTTGTTACAAAACAGTCATCTTGCATCTTCTCGTGAAGATTCTCCTTCACCGTCCGAACTCGTTCCAACAGCATTGTTATTTCTTCTTGAACTTGTAGCACGCGATTTAGAATCTTGCCATGTGAGAGCCAACGTACCTCTGTGTGAAATAGGAGAACAGAGAAGGCGGCAACCATTTCTTCACAAAGCACTTTAAAAATCCTTGAAGTCGTTGTGTTCCTTCAGATATGGTTCGCAATATTTACAACGCCTGTGAGCACTTCTTGAAGTCTAGGTGGGAGAGCCTTCATCGCCAAAATATGCCTTGATTGCTTCAGGAAGTGCAAGGAACATGCGAGTACTTTTCACAATGGTTTGAGCCTGGTTGCACGGTTTCTAGGAGCAATCTGTAATGAAGCTTCCCGCTGCTCATTTGAGAGCGAAGTGCTTCAGGATTTTGAATAATCCTCAAAGTGTTTAGTTGTTCAGAAAAAGTAACTTTTCCCCCAGACTTGCCTGTGGAACGACTACAGAATGGAACTATAAGCAATATCTGTTTTACTCGGACTCAAAATACTTTGGCTCTCACACGACACATTGGCAGGGTTGACCCAGTCCGAATGATGCTTGTATCATCTGAAGGAAAGCTTCATTGTATGTATGCTGTTCTTCAGAACATTGTTGCCAGAACAGGAATACTCGCCATGGGAGGTCCAGATTTTTAGAGCGAATTGGAACTTCCCAACGTAGCTATTGAGCTGATGGTGACCATGTGTTGTGGCTTGAGTAGTTTACTGTTGAGCCAGATCCACCACCAGTGATCGGCTGTTGGCAAACTCACAGAACTGGTTTACTTGGCCCAGCTGCTATCGAATATAAAATTAAACTAACATTGCTCCATTGGAAAACGCTCATTGTGACTCCAGGGAAGAAACCAAACGCCCATGGGGTCACTCAGGTTAAGAAGCGCTCGGCTCCACAGAGAGATTGTGTGTGGTTGTGGGCTCGTGCCTACTGTAGCACCACCTCACTGTGATAGTGTGCACTCACCAAACTGGTAAAAGCCCAGCTGGCTAATTCAGATATATGAAAATAAATTATATTCTCCCGAACCCTTTGTGACTCCCGGAGAAACCCCAAACGACCCCCCAAGGGGTCATGACCTCCAGGTTAAGAACCGCTGCGCTACAGGAAGTGTGTGTGTCTGAGGCTCCGGCCATCTTCATCACTCACTTGTGTGTTTGTCACTACAGAAAATGTGTGTGTGTGTGTGTGTGTCTGAGGCTCCAGCTATCATCACTCACTTATGTTTGTCACTACAGGAGGTGTGTGTGTCTGAGGCTCCAACCATTATCACACTGGTCGACTCACCGCTCGTCTCCTCTGCTGGCGGACTCACCGATAACAAGATCTGTATTGGTAAGTCGAGGTAGCTGGCTCTCTCACACTATTTAAAGCTCTTTGTTTTCTCCAAATTCTTTTCTCTCCCTTTCTCTCTTCTATTTCGTTGATTCCTTCTTGTCGTTCATTCCGTCCTTCATTTCTATCCTACTTCATTTCTATCGTTAATTTCATCCCTATCGTCGTCCTGCATCGATTTTCCTTCTTCCTCGTCCTCTTCTCCCCTTTTCTCTGTTCTTCTCTCCTTTTCTCTTCCCGATCACTAATTTTTCCTCTCTGGGAAAAAATTTGTATATATAATTTACATTTATAATTTCATTCAAGTCAGATTTTTGTTGTTATAAAATATTTAGAGCATCAATACTCACACTCATCAATAGTAAATGATACTTTTTATTTACAGACTGATTCAGTCAACCAAAATGCTGCTTACATTAATGGGCGTGTGTGTGTGTGTGTGTGTGTGTGTGTAAGTCACAAAGTGTAATGGAAGAGTGAATCAGAGATGGGAACTTTCATGGAGACAAAGCAAGAGAACGTAGTAGGGGAGGATATCAGATGAGGGCCAATTGATGGTGTTAATTATTGTGGGAAGGATCATAACTGGAGTTGTATAGAGAGCTGACCTGTGTCTTGTGAAGACTTGTTATTATTACGACCTAGGTAATCAAGGCCTTTATCCTGGGTGTAAAAAGGGAGCTTGGAGCAAAATAAACACAGCAGAAAAAACTTTGAATTATATTATCCTTCACCAAGTATAAACAAAAGTATGTACACTATATACACTATGTACAGCAAATAGGTATTAATGCATGCCACGGTAGTCAAGGCAGAGCAGCAGCCAAGAGACAAAATAGACAACTGTGCTTCAACCAGCAGCAGAATGAAAATGACAAAGGTGGAAACATGAGTGGTAACCACGTCACCTTCACCACTGCCAGATCCACATTATGATTGGCTGAACCTAGGTACTGATCTGACGATGGGGCTCCGATCGTCAGACCCTAGTGCCTGGTTCACTGGTTGGGGAGATAGCCTATGTGAAAATGTGGACATACTCCGAATAAAGGTTACATACTCTTTGCATGCCACACCTGTCTAATGGAAACTCAGTGATCTGACCTGTGTCTTGTGAAGACCTGTCTAATAGAAACTCAGTGAGCTGACCTGTGTCTTGTGAAGATCTGCCTAGTGGAAACTCAAGTGATGGAGAAGAAAAATTATAAACTCAAGATTAAAAGATTTGAAAGAGTTGTGTAAACTACTGACTCACTGGCCATCGTCTGTGATCAACACAGAACATCCAATGCAGCAACAAACCAGGAGGACAGTAAGAAGTACCCAGAGGAATGACAATTGTAAGCACACTCTTGTAGTTGGAGACTTTCAGGTGAGGTATATGGATCGTACATGGTGTGACAGGTAGAAGACAAATAGGATGAGTCAATCTTCGAGGTGCCGGGCTGGAGGATTTTGTGGATAGAATGAGTAATATCCTGACATGAAATGGGAATGAACTGTGACTGTGATGGAGGTAACGTTGCTATAAAGATTCGAAGCGAGGAATCGCTGAAAAAAGTTCATGGCAGTTGCTTTTATTATTCAAGAATAGAGCGGTACACCCTTAACATATGGTATTCTGTCTCGAATGGCTCTCCAGGGCCATTGGCGTTAATTGCTGCCTCGGTAAGGGCTGTAAGGCGGCAAAGAGGAAGCTTATTGACAACTGGGATATCTTTCTCAATAAAGGTGTCATGTATATAAGGGATGGAATACACCTTCATGAGTGAGAGTGAAAGGTTAGCTAGTTCAGTGGAGATTTATACTAGTCTGGGGACTTATACTAATTAATAACACAGTAGTTGTCCTTTAAACCTCAGTAACTTAGAAACTGTGAACTAGATACATGTTCAGACTTTGTGAAATTAACATGAACGGATGGTTAAGTGTCATGAGTTTACATGGTAAGCGGCGGCATTGTGCTGCTAGAAGTAAAAATGACAAACATTCCGAGTATAGTCAAGAAAATTGTGTTGGTAATGATGAGAATACCATAACTGATGGAAAGATGAAGAATAGAGAGAAGGCAGAAAAGAAAAACTTTATCTAGATTTGTTATCCAAATTACTGTAGTATTCGTAATAAGATAAACAGTAAATATAAATATAGAGTCGGGACATGATTAAAGAGTTCCACGTAGAAGGACCTAAATTTTTCCATTCTGATGGAAACAACAATAATAGGGTGAGCAACGACATATCAGAGACAACTTAATTTGTTGCACCAACGATACAAGTCTGGGGAAACTGACACTGAATCTGTATGCTTGCAGTTTACTGAAGGAAATAAAATCTGATCTTTGACATGCAGTATCGACCTTAGAAAGCGTCCAGGGAAAACTTCTTTGGTAGGAAATTGGTAGTTTCAGAGTATGAAAACCTAGTATTCTTAAGAGGTTCTAATTTGTGCCAAATTGACTGGAATTACTTGATGGAAGTTTAATCATACTGTTTCCTGGAAGTAGTAGAGGATTGTTTTTAAGCAGTTTGTGACAGATCCAACAGAGGAAACTACAATACATTTGGGGTTAGACCCCATGGCAAGTGAATCGTAAAACTCCAGGCCACTTCTAACCCCACCCGTACTCTGGTTTGTTTGCAGTCATGTTATTACGATTTCATGAGTCAACAAGAGGAATTAATCTGGTTAATTTGGTTCTGTTAACTTGGGCGACTCTTGTAAATGATCTGGAGATCAGGGAGGAGCTTGGCACAAGTGATCACAAATCTGTTACAGGTAACGCTGCCTGAAAGTAATGATAATAAGAATAATGCAGAGAAGGTCCCAGATTTCCACTGTGCAGATTACCTGCTCTGTCTTGACTAGAATAACGAAGAGATCTTCCAGTATATTTTTCTAGATACTATATATGCTGCTCAAAGAACATATATCCCCCTAAAGAGGAATAAAAACAAATAAAAATGATGTGAAATGGATGAGTACGAGGCTCCATCTTTTGTGAAAGAAAAATGAAATTTATAGACATTAAAACATGAGCGATTGTAAATGAAGTAAAGAAGAGTTAAATTAGTTTATAAAATTAAATTTGTGAAGGAATCTAGTATATATCCGAAACCAGCGAGTTTGGCTTATTCGACCGAATAAGCAGAATATTTTTTTTTATATAAATCAGCAAAAATCAATCTGAACATTACGAAAAAATTTAGTGTCATTGATTTTGAGTAATGTTAAATAAATTTAAAATGGTCTATGCTACACATTGCAGAATTTAGAAAAAAAAAAATACGCTAGTCTAGGTTAGTTTAAGTGAGGTTCTAACTTGTGTTTGGTCAAAAAAAAAATATATGTATCACTGTCAATGAGAAAATATACTTATTAATCAATCTCTAAAAAAAATCTGGAAAAGTTTAATTTTTAAGGGAGTCATTTGAACTGTAATATCTGCACACTTCTGGTACGCTGAGGTCAGTGGTCACATGTGGTCATACCTGTCCCTAGCTGTCAGGAATTAACGTGGGGTGTTACCTAGCACCATGGCTTGCTAGGTAAATAGGGAAATAGGAGGCTGAAGCTTCGTCTACATAGGTATGGGAGTGAGTGTGAGATGGTTGTAGGTGGTGAGGAGGAAAAAGTTACCAGCAGTGATTTGGAGAGTGGAAGCCGCTTTAAGTGGTTCACAATTCAGGAAGAAGGATAATAAGGAAGGTTAATAGAAAAGATGTGAAGGTATGAAATCGATTCTCTGCTCTCCAGGACGAGTGTACTTCGGTGGTTAGTGAGATTAAAGGTACCACTGACTCTCCTGCTTATCAAGGTAAGAATATTCTAATTGTGGGAGATTCTCAGGTAAGATATATGGACCATGCTTTTTGTAACAGAGATAGAAAGGTCAGACAGAGGGTGTGCCTCCTAGGAGCTGGTGCTGGTGACATAGTCAGCAGGTTGGATAATATTATGTCATGGTGAAAATGACATCAGGAATGGCAGGAGACAGGAGCTGCTCTATAAGTATAGGTCAGCCATAGATGTAGTCAGGTCTAAGGGAGGGATCCCAATCATATGTAGCATCTTGCCTAGAAGGGGAGCAGACACTGAATGGATGTCTAGGGCAATCGGTATAAATTGCTGGCTAGACAGGTACTGCAAGGAACTTGTAATCCCATTCATTAATAACTGGGACATATTCTATGGCAAACATGATATGTATGCAAGGGATGGGGTTCATCTCTCTGGGGTTGGAGTGGTTGCGTTAGCCAGTTCGACTGAAGGGGATTATTGGTGACATGTCTAGGGCTTTAAACTGATAGATTATAGAGGTATGGGTGTCTGTGGGAAACACTCAGGCTGCAGTACTAGAGATGAAAACAGCAGATATAACCAGGATACCTCAGGGATATGTTTAAAAGACAATATTCAAAATAAAGTTGCTAGTAAAGGCAAAGCAATTGATCAACAAACAAAGAGAGATAGTAGAGGGCAACGAGTGACTAGCTCCCTTGAGGTTTACTATACAAATAGTAGGAGTCTAAGAAATAAGATAAATGAGCTAAGATTACTTGCAAGTGCAGGCAATATAGATATTATTGCTATAACAGAGATCTGGTTCAGCTTGAAAGATAGAGAAATGCCTTCTGAATGCAGCATACAGGGTTATAAACTATTCCATACTGATAGGGTCAACAGGAAGGGTGGTGGAGTGGCGATGTATGTCAGAGATAATTTAAATTGTTGCGTTAGACAAGATATAAGATTGGAAACATTGGACACAGAATCTGTTTGGCTACAGTTTCTTGAGGATCGTGAAAAGTTAATTTTGGTGTGATTTATGGGTCCCCAAACCTTGATATAGAGTGCAGTCAGCTGCTATGGGACGATATTCATAAGGCATCTAGATATGAAAATGTTGTGTTAATGGGAGATTTAAACTTTAGACAAGCTGTTTGGAACAATGTGACAGGAAATCTTGAGTCTGGAGTTTACCTGGAGAGAGTTCCGGGGGTCAACGCCCCCGCGGCCCGGTCTGTGACCAGGCCTCCTGGTGGATCAGAGCCTGATCAACCAGGCTGTTACTGCTGGCTGCACGCAAACCAACGTACGAGCCACAGCCCGGCTGGTCAGGTACCGACTTTAGGTGCTTGTCCAGTGCCAGCTTGAAGACTGCCAGGGGTCTATTGGTAATCCCCCTTATGTATGCTGGGAGGCAGTTGAACAGTCTCGGGCCCCTGACACTTATTGTATGGTCTCTTAACGTGCTAGTGACACCCCTGCTTTTCATTCTTGATACCGTTCAGGATTGCTTTTTAAAACAGTTTGTGACAGAACCAACTAGAGGAAACAATCTGCTTGACTTGGCTCTTGCCAACAAAGAATCATTAATTAATAATCTTGAGGTTAACGATGAGCTTGGGGAAAGTGATCACAAATCACTTAGTTTCAATATATCATGGAATTACCCAGATAACTGCAATCAAATCTCTGTCCCAGACTTCCGCTTGGCCAATTTCATGACACTGAGAAATTACCTGGGTGGGCTAAATTGGGATGACCTGACTATGGGTCAGGTTGGTGGTGTTGGTAGCCAATATGACGTTTTTCAGAGCATGGTTCTAGCTGCCCAGACAACTTTTGTTCCTAGTAGGGAAATTAGATCTAACAAAAATGATCCCAAATGGATGAACAATAGATTAAAACATCTCATTGGTCAAAAGAGAGGCATATATAGGCATATCAAAAGAGGGGGATGGGCAGTTAAGAAATCAATATATTCAGTTAAAGGGAGAAATAAAAAAAGGGAATAAGAAAAGTTAAAAGGGATTATGAGGCTAAGGTTGCAAGGGACTAGAAGACTAACCCAAAAGGGTTCTTTCAGGTATACAGAAGTAAGATTAGGGACAAAATACGCCCACTTAAGAGTAACTCAGTCAGATCACTAAAAGTGATAAGGATATGTGTGAAATTTTCAATACTTACTTCCTCTCAGTTTTTACCCAGGAAGATACTAGCAAAATTCTAGAAATAATAAATTATGTAGAACAGGACGATAATAAACTATGCACGATTGGAGTAACTAGTGACATCGTCCTCGGACAAATAGAGAAATTATAACCTAACAAATCCCCAGGTCCTGATGAATTGTTTGCAAGAGTTTTAAAGGAATGTAAAGAGGAACTTAGGCTAAATCTTTTCAACATATCACTACAAACTGGCATAGTGCCAGATAAGTGGAAAATGGCAAATGTAATACCTCTTTACAAGGCAGGTGACAGGTCCTTGGCTTCGATCTATAGACCTATAAGCCTTACCTCCATAGTGGAAAATTTTACGGAATCAATAATTACCAAGGCTATTCATAGCCATCTTGAAAGGCATAAATTGATTAATGAATCTCAACACGGTTTTACAAAGTGGCGTTCTTGTCTTACGAATTTACTTTCTTCACTAAGGTATTTGAGGAGGTAGATCATGGAATTGAATATGATATTGTGTATATGGACTTCAGTAAGACTTTCGATAGAGTTCCACATCAGAGCCTACTGAGGAAACTTCAGGCACATGGAATAGGAGAATTTTTTTTCCTGGACAGAGGCATGGTTGACAAATAAGCAGCAGAGAGTTTGCACAAATGGGGAGAAATCAGAATGGGGGCACGTCACAAGCGGTGTTCCTCAGGGGTCAGTGTTGGGCCTGTTGTTGTTCACAACTTACATGTTTGTAGATTGATGGACTGAACACATCGACTCAAGGTTGAGGGACTGATTACCTCATTCTCCTCCTGTTCTTCAAGTTTCTCCTACGTATGGACTGATGAAGCCACTGTGTGGCGAAACGTTTCCTCAATAAAGATACCCAAGAGTTGCACATGTGTCTAATTTATCCACAACTTACATAAACGACATAGATGAGGGAATAAATAGCGACATAATGAAATTTGCTGATGACACTAAAATAGGCCGTCCAATTCATTCTAATGAGGACACTAGAGCACTCCAGGATGATTTGAATAGACTGATGTAATGGTCGGAGAAGTGGCAAATGCAGTTTAATATAGACAAATGAAAGTTCTAAATGCTGGAAAGAATAATAACCATGCCACATATAAACTAAATAATGTAGATCTTAATATTACTGATTGCGAAAAGGATTTGGGAGCACTGGTTAGCAGTAACCTGAAACCAAGACAACAGTACACAAGCATTCACAATAAAGCTAACAGAATTTTTGGCTTCATATCAAGAAGCATAAATAATAGAAGTCCTCAGGCTGTTCTTCAACTCTACATATCCTTGGTTAGGCCTCATTTAGACTATGCTGCTCAGTTCTGGTCACCGTATTACAGAATGGATATAAATGCATTGGAAAACGTACAGAGGAGGATGGCAAAGTTGATCCCTGAATCTGCACTCACTAGAAAGGCGTAGAATTAGGGGGGATAAGATTGAGGTGTATAAATGGAAAACAGGAATGAATAAAGGGGATGTAAATAGCGTACTAAAAATATCTAGCCTAGACAGGACTCGCAGCAATGGTTTTAAGCTGGAAAAGTTCAAGTTCAGAAAGGATATAGGAAAGCACTGGTTTGGTAATAGAGTTGTGGATGAGTGGAACAAGCTCCCGAGTAACGTCATAGAAGCTAAGACGTTGTGTAGTTTTAAAAGTAGGTTAGATAAATACATGAGTGGGTGTGGGTGGGTGTGAGTTGGGCCTGACTAACTCGTGCTACTGGGTTAGAAGCCGTGACCTGACTGGGTGGGCCATTGGTCTAAGCCGGGGGTTGACATGGACCTGCCCTGCATGGGCCAGTGGGCCTGTTACAGTGTTCCTTCTTTCTTATGTTCTTATGAACGAGTGATGTTGAATGTTTTTTTCACTGGCAGAAATGTTTTGGTGTGAGAATGGTCTTAACATCACAAACTGGGAGTGATAATGTTCATTACTCCGTCAGGTTTCAAGCATCACTGGGACCTGGTGAGCGAGAGGACAGGAGAAGTCACCAGACTGCACCATGTGGAAGCCTCCAAGGTCAACCTCGTGGCCGCCCTTGACATTTACGAGGACGACGAGGCCGAACTTCTCCTCTGCTACAACAGTAAGTTCGTCCTCGAGGCTGTATGGGAACCATACAATCTGTAAGTTTAACAATGGTATGCCATGGAGACAAGTTAATAACTAAAACACATTTGCAACGAGTTAGGTGTCTTTGTTCCGAAACGTTTGACCTACACACTAGGCTTCTTCAGTCAAATGCAGAGGAGGCAGCAGAAGCTGTGGGGATATAAAGACAATGCAATCAGTCCCTCACCCTTGAGTTCTGCTCCATAGTCTGGAGCAGTGTGAAGTTGAAGCAACAGCATGAAGACATACATATACAGTATATGTATGCTGTCAAGGTGAGGCGGAGACAATCTTGAAAACGACAGAAGAGACTGGGACCACTAAAGAAGCTTACTATGTAGGCGAAACATTTCTAAATAAAAATGCGTAACTGTTGCACATGTCTTGTTAAGACTGATTTGTTTTCGAGGCACCGCGGGTGTCTCAGAGGAAATGGTGAACTTCCTCTAAGATCCAGTTTCTTATGAGCTCTGCGTTCAAGGTTCAGCATCGTGGAACACTACTGTTTCATTCATCCATACATTAGTTTTAAGTTACGTCATGCTGTCTATTGATCATTTTATTAACACAGATGGAAGTCTGATGGGCGTGTTCCACCTGATCGTAAGTAAATCAGTAAACTCTCAACTAGGCAGCGCAATGGAAAGACAAACCAGCAGAAATCAATTTCTTAATCCGCGTATTCCTTCGCCACAAAAATATATATCGTATTTACACTTTGTACAGAGTGAAAATGGCAAGTGGTATGTCCGAGCAGACAACCGAGTGGACAACCTGCCAGTTCTGCTCCATAAGTTGAAGACATCACTTCACAGAATTGGTGGGTTTCACGTCATTGGCTGTTGAACTACCAATTAGCAAAGCAGTGAGGCCCCCAGACCTGCTACACTCTTAATCGCTAGTTCGCTGGTAGAGAGGGCATGCCAAAGTGGGTAACATACGTCGAATGAAATGTAACGTCCTCTTCATATGCCACAGTCATCGTTGAACACTGTATTTTCACTCATTCATACACTAGTTTTAATAGTTACATCTACTGATCATCGTCATCCATTTTTCTCATCAACATATGCAGCCTACCATAGACTACCTCGATCAGAAATAACTACAAACTGGAAAGTTTTAAACTTCCGGACAGAAGGCACATTTTATTTTGAATAATTATAGGGTAGAGTGCAATTATCCACGTAAGTATCGAATTCAAGGATGAGATTTAATATGTCGTTCAAATCGGTATTCCCTGACACAGAAAGAATGCCTGTCATACTCTTCTTCACTAAGAATTGTCAGAAGATGAAAGTGAAGGCACTTGTGCAACATCTGGTTATCTTTATTGTAGACTTTTTTTTTTTTTTTTTTTTTTTTTTTTTTTTTTTTTTTTTTACACAGGGTTTGACAAGGTTAAGGATCCCTAGCTTTATTGACAGCTATATTACAGGTTAAGGATTCCTAACTTTATTGGCAAGCTAAGAGCTGTTACCTACATCAGCTCATTTGAAAGCATTTTTATTGTCATGAGACATACAAGTACGGAACAGGATGAAGTTGGAGCCATCTGTGGGCCAGCATTTTCATTTGATCAACTGACTTTATCTCGTTGACATCATTATGCTGTACGAATGTGTTCCATACTCGAATCATCCTGGGTATGTATGATCTCAGATGGAGTGATGTTCTGGAGAAGGGTACAGCCAGAGTGAAGTTGCTGCTTTCTGCCCGTCTTGTGGCATAAAAGCTTGTTTCACGCTGTCCTCGAAGTGGATCCAAGTGTGGTATTTTGACAATATTGGCCTTGTACATAACAGTAAGGCCACCCACATCCCTCCTATGTTGAAGGCTCTGCTGAAATGACAGATCTATCCAGGATGGGTCCAGGCGAGAGATGAGACGTCTTGCTCTGTTCTCTACTCTGTCAAGCAGTCGCAGATGAGAGGGGGGGCAGGCAAACCAAGAAAGTGGAGCATACTCAAGGTGTGAGCGTACTTGTGCCTCGTACAGGATCTTGCAACCCCTACTGTCAAGCAGATGCGAGATACGGCGAAGTGCTGTAAGCTTCCTGGCTGCCTTGTTTGCAAGATTTACAACATGGTTCTTCATGGTTAGTTTGGAGTCAAATTTCACCCCAAGGATATCAACTTCTTCTCCAGGTGCCAACATCCTCCCATTCATCCTTACTACTGCACCAGCATTACCATCATGGTGCCTAGAGACGATCATCATTTGCGTTTTCTCAGGTGCAAATGTTACTTGCCATCTATTTCCCCAAGCTGATATAGCTCTCAGCTGGTGATTGATGTAGCTTAGAGCAGCTGGCATTTCTTCTCTTGGATAAGTGAATGTCAGTGTACAGTCGTCTGCATATGCATGTGATTCTGGGATGAGATGAAGAAGGTCGTTGAAGTAGACATTCCATAACAGTGGACCCAGCACGCTTCCTTGTGGAATGCTTGCCCCAATAGGATGCCTTGCTGATTCCGTTCCATTGAGGACTACACTTAGAGATCTACCATGAAGGTAATCACTGAGGAGACATAGCGTAGAGCCTGCAATTCCCAGTGCTTGAAGTTTTGCTAAGAGGCCCTGGTGCCACACCCGGTCGAAAGCGCCAGCAATGTCCAGTGCTACCACACAGCTGACTTTGGATTCATCCAGTGACTGGTGCCACTTAGTGGAGAGGTTTAACAACAGATCAGCAGCAGAGTAACCTTTCCTGAAGCCATATTGACGATCACAAAGTAGTGAGTGGTAGTCAAAAAAATCTGTCATTTGTCTTGAGATTATTGTCTCAAGGATCTTACCAGTGATTGACAGGAGTGACACTGGTCTGTAGTTGCTGATTTCTGCTCTGCTCTTCTTTTTGTGAACAGGGACTACATTTGCCTCTTTCCATAGAGAGGGCCATTTACACTGTACTAGGCAGTGCTGAAAGATGCGAGTTAGAGGTGCTGCTAGCTGGTCTGCACATCTTCTCAACAATCTTGGGCTCAACTTGTCTGGGCCCACAGCCTTTTCTTGGTCAAGTGATTTATCAATACAGATTCTTGGATATAATAAGAAAACAGAAGAACTATATACAAAAGATGAGGTAATCAGTCCCTCAACCTTGGAGGTGGTGTTTAGAGCACCGTGGTTGTAGAGATTCTGAATCTCTACAACCACGGTGCTCTAAACATCAAGAATATGTATTGATAAAGCCACTGGATGGCGAAACGTCTACAATAAAGATAACCAGATGTTGCACAAGTGCCTTCACTTTCATCTTGTCGGTATTGTATATCTGTCTTGCACAATTATCAGAAGAGTTGAATCTTGAAGGTAATCACTAAGGAAGTGTAGAAGGGAACCAGTTAACGCTAGTGCTGGTATTCTGAAGAGAGTACCACAGAATAATAAGCCTTTATTTTATACAGCACTTTGCTAGATGCCCATTTAATCATATCTGTTAAATAAAGCACTAGAGTATAGGAGGAAAGTGTGACCAGTGAGGAGAGGGAAGAATTGCGACTTTTTACGTCATAAGAACATAAGAACATAAGAACGAAGGAACACTGCAGAAGGCCTACTGGCCCATGCGAGGCAGGTCCAAGTCTCCTACCGGCTTAAGCCAATGCACCCAACCTAGTCAGGTCAGGTCACATTGACTTAAGGGAGGAACACGGCAACCGACCTGGTAGCACAAGCTATCAGGTCCAACTCACACCCACCCACATCCACTCATGTATTTATCCAACCTATTTTTAAAGCTACACAACGTTCTGGCCTCTATAACTGTACTCGGGAGTTTGTTCCACTCATCCACAACTCTATTACCAAACCAGTACTTTCCTATATCCTTCCTGAATCTGAATTTTTCCAACTTAAAACCATTGCTGCGAGGTCCTGTCTAGGCTAGATATTTTCAGCACACTATTTACATCCCTTTATTTATTCCTGTCTTCCATTTATACACCTCAATCATATCCCCCCTAATTCTACGTCTTTCTAGAGAGTGCAGATTCAGGGCCCTTAGTCTATCCTCATAGGGAAGGTTTCTGATACGTGGGATCAACTTTGTCATCCTCCTTTGTACATTTTCCAGAGAATTTATATCCATCCTGTAATACGGTGACCAAAACTGTGCAGCATAATCTAAATGAGGCCTAACCAAGGATGTATAGAGTTGAAAGAACAACCTGAGGACTCCTATTATTTATGCTTCTTGATATGAAGCCAAGGATTCTATTAGCTTTATTGCGAAACTTATGCACTGTTGTCTTGGTTTCAGATTACTGCTAACCAGAACTCCTAAATCTTTTTCGCAATCTGTAATATTAAGATCTACATTATTTAGTTTATATGTGGCATGGTTATTGTCCTGTCCAACATTTAGAACTTTGCATTTGTCTATATTAAACTTCATCTGCCACTTCTCCGACCACTGCATCAGTCTATTCAAATCTTCCTGGAGTGCTCGAATGTCCTCGTCAGAATGAATTCGACGGCCTATTTTAGTGTCATCGGCAAACTTGCCGATGTCGCTCTTTATGCCCTCATCTATGTCGTTTATGTAGATTGTGAACAGCAGGGGGCCCAACACTGACCCCTGTGGAACACCGCTCGTAACGCTTCCCCACTCTGATTTCTCCCCATTTATGCAAACTCTCTGCTGCCTATTTGTCAACCATGCCTCTATCCAGGAAAAAATTTCTCCTCCTATTCCATGTGCTTTAATTTTCCTCAATAGTCTCTGATGTGGGACCCTGTCAAAAGCCTTACTGAAGTCCATATACACAATATCATATTCATTACCATGATCTACCTCCTCAAATACCTTAGTGAAAAAAGTTAATAAATTCGTAAGGCGGGAACGCCCCTTTGTAAAACCATGCTGAGATTCGTTGATTAATTTATGCTTTTCAAGGTGGCTACGAACTGCCTCGGCAATTATTGATTCCATAAATTTTCCCACTATGGAGGTTAGGCTTATTGGTCTATAGTTCGAAGCTAAGGACCTGTCACCTATTTTGAAAATAGGTATCACATTTGCCATTTTCCACTTATCTGGCACCATGCCAGTTTGTAGTGATATGTTGAAAAGATTAGCCAAAGGTGTGCTAAGCTCCTCTTTACATTCCTTTAGAACCCTTGCATACAGTTCATCAGGGCCTGGGGATTTGTTAGGTTTTAATTTATCTATTTGCCTAAGGACCATGTCACTTGTGACCCTAATCGTGCACAGTTTATTATCGTCCTGTTCTACATAATTTATCATTACTGGTATATCACTGGTATCCTCCTGTGTAAAAACTGAGAGGAAGTATGTGTTAAAAATTCTACACATTTCCTTATCACTGTCAGTGAGCTGACCCGAGGAACTTTTGAGTGGGCCTATCTTGTCCCTGATCTTTCTTCTGTATACCTGAAAGAATCCTTTTGGGTTAGTCTTCGATTCTCTTGCAACTTTAACCTCATAATCTCTTTTTGCTTTTCTAATTCCCTTTTTTATTTCTCTCTTTAACTGAATATATCGATTTCTTAATTGCCCCTCTCCTCTTTTGATTTGCCTATATATGCCTCTCTTTTGACCAATCAGATATTTTAATCTATTGTTCATCCATTTAGGATCATTTTTGTTTGATCTGATTTCCCTATTTGGAACATAATTTGACTGAGCAGCTAGAACTATGCCCTGGAAAGCATCATATCGGCAACCATCACCACCTACCTGACCCTTAGTCAGGTCATTCCAGTTCAGCCCACCTAAGTAATTTTTCAGTCCTATGAAATCAGCCAAGCGAAAGTCAGGGACGGAGACTTGATTGCCATTATTAGGGGAATTCCATGATATATTAAAACTGAGTGATTTGTGATCACTTTCCCCAAGCTCATCATTAACCTCAAGATTATTAATTAGTGTTTCCCTACTGGCAAGAACCAAGTCAAGGAGGTTATTTCCCCTAGTAGGCTCTGTCACAAACTGTTTTAAAAAACGATCCTGGATCGTATCAAGAAAGTCACCTGACTCTAAATTTCCTGTCAAATTGCTCCAGTCAATCTGTCTATAGTTGAAATCTCCCATTAGCACAACATTTTCGTATGTAGATGCCTTACGAATTTCGTCCCATAGAAGTTTACTGCACTCCCTATCAAGATTTGGGGCCCTGTAAATCACACCCAAAATTAGTTTTTCTCGGCCCTCGAGAAGCTGTAACCAAACAGATTCAGTGGCTGACGCTTCTAATTTAATATTTTTTCTAACACAACAATTTAAATTGTCTCTGACATACATTGCTACTCCACCACCTTTCCTGTTGACCCTGTCAGTGTGGAATAATTTATAGCCTTGTATGTGACATTCAGAGGGCATCTCTCTATCTTTCAGATTGAGCCAGGTCTCTGTTATAGCAATAATATCTATGTTTCCTGCACTTGCAATTAATCTTAGCTCATCTATCTTATTTCTTACACTCCTGCTATTAGTATAGTAAACCTTAAGGGAGCTAGTCCCTTGCTGCCCTCTGCTGTCCCCATTTGTTTGCTGACCTGATCTATTGTCTTTATTTATAACTTCATGCTGAATGCCTTTTATACATTTACTGTTTCCAACCCTAGTGTTGCAACCTGCTTGTTTCCCACACACACCCATACCTCTATCTTCCATCAGTTTAAAATCATAGGCATTTCACCAATGGCCTTCTCAATCGAGTCTGCAAGTGCTACCACCCCTGCCCCAGAGAGATGTACCCCATCCCTTGCATACATATCATGTTTGCCATAAAAGTTGTTCCAGTTGTCAATGAATGGGATTGCAAGTTCCTTGCAGTATCTGTCTAGCCAGCAATTTACACCAATTGCCCTAGACAACCATTCATTTCCTACTCCCCTTCTAGGCAAGATGCTACATATGATTGGGATCCCTCCCTTAGACTTAATAAAATCTATAGCTGACCTGTACTTATCTAGCAGCTCTTCTCTCCTACCCTTCCCAATATCATTTCCACCAGCACTGAGACAGATAATGGGCTTGTTCCCATTACCTGACATGATATTATCTAGCCTGTTGACTATGTCCCCAACACCAGCTCCAGGGAAGCACACTCTATCTCTCATCTTCTTATTGACCATGCTTTTTGTAAAAAAAGCACGGTCAATATATCTTACCTGAGAGTCACCAGCCACAAGAATGCGCTTACCTCCATTAGCAGGGGCAGTAGTACCCTTACCTTCACTGGCCACTGAAGTACATTCATCCTGAAGAACAGAGAAGCGATTTCCTACCTTCAGATCTTCACTCTTAACTTTCCTTACTCTGATGCGCCTTCCATTACTGTGAACCACTCGCCACTTGTAGCAGGTGCTGGGCTGCACCTCACTGCTGGTAGCCATTGCTACCTCCCCAACTACAGCCTCCTCACAGCGAGAGACAGACTGCACCTCACTGCTAGAAGCCTCATTCCCCACAACTCCAGCCACCTCACACTCTCTCCCAGACCCATTGAGGTGGACCTTCAGCCTCCTAATCTCCTCCTGGAGAAGCAAGACCTCCTCCTTCAACTCTCCAACCTCAATTTTTAAAACACTGCAGAAGCAAGCCATGCTTTGTAACCGTCCACGCTAAACCCGTAGGGATTATGCGGCGCCTGTGGAGGTGATGGAAGGCATTCAGGCTTAGTTCAGGGAACTGGAGCATATATCCAATTCCCTAGATTAAGAGCCTCTCACCAGCATCAAGGAACCTCCCTTGTTGGGGTTACACTGAACAGACACACTGTCATAGCTAGGTTGGGGTATGGTGTGGCAGGGAAAAAAAAAAATTTAGGGTCCACACCTGCAAGGGGCAGAAGGTTCCTCTGTGGTCACCGTGGGGTCTGGGCCACCCTTCCTGGTGTATAGAATTACACCTAGCAGGATAAATCTTAAGATATTATATTTAGAAGCACACTAAGGGTTTCAACGCCTGGGTAACACGAGGCAATCAGGTTCGATGCAAGGAGAGAACAGATCAAATTCCTGGATCAAGAGCCTCTCACCAGCATCAGTGCATCTCCCCCGAGTGGGTGAGTTAGACCTGACTGTTGGACCAGTGGGCGATTTGGACCTGCTAAGCATGAGCCAGGCCTCCGCAGTGCTCTTTAATGTTAAATTATAATCATGGGGAAGCGCTAAACCCGGAGGATTATACAGCGTCTGGGGGGGATGTGGAAGGCATTCAGGCTTAATTCGGGGAACTGGGGCACAGATCCAATTCCCTAAATCAAGGAACCTTCCTTGAGGGGTTTAATGTTCAAACTCCACTCTCTTCACTTGTTTAAAATTATTATAATCAAGGGGGAAGCGCTAAACCCGTAGGATTATACAGCGCCCAGGGGAGGGGGGATGTGGAAGGCATTCAGGCTTAATTCGGGGAACTGGAGCACAGATCAAATTCCCTAAATAAAGATTATATATAATCAAGGGGGAAGCGCTAAACCCGGAGGATTATACAGCGCCTGGGGGGATGTGGAAGGCATTCAGGCTTAATTCGGGGAACTGGAGCACAATCTAATTCCCTAAATCAAGAGCCCCTCACCAACATCAAGGAACCTTCCTTGAGGGGCCCTAAATCAAGAGCCTCACCAACATCAAGGAACCTTCCATGTGGGGCACTTGTTTAAAAGTATTGTTAAAATTCAATCAGTTGCAATTTTCAAATCGACTATAATTTAAGCATAAATTTAAAAAAAAAAATCCAATCACATGAAAAAAAAAAAAGGGGCTAAACCCGTAAGTCATACAGCGCCAAGGCATTTTGGAAATATTTTAAGCATCAATAATACAAAAATATTATTAAAGGTATTCAATAAGTTTTCAGATACAAACTATCAATCAGTTAGTTTATAAATCATAAACATAACGTGCACTTCGACTTATGCCCGAAATCCCTAGCCATGCTAAGCGTTCTAGTGGTACACTGTAATCACAAAATTTTACTACATATAAACCAAATAACCAAATTTGTCAACTCAGCATTGTAATCCTTATAGAGAATAAACTTTGAATTGAATTTGAATTGAATAATTGAATTCACATCAAAAATAAATTAAATCTGAGTTCAGATGATCTACTTGGCAGTTGTATTCTTTGTAGTCGACACCTTGCTAACCCTCTTAGCTGTTGGCTACTTTGGTGTGGCGGCCTAGGCGGTATATTTCTTAGCGACCTTCTTAGCTGCAGGCTTCTTAGTAGTGGCCTTCCTGGCAACGTTCTTCTTAGCTGCAGGCTTCTTAGTAGTGGCCTTCTTGCCAACGTTCTTAGCTACAGGCTTCTTGGCGACGGTCTTCTTAGCCGTGGCCTTCTTGGCGACGGTCTTCTTAGCCGTGGCCTTCTTGGCGACGGTCTTCTTAGCTGTGGCCTTCTTGGCGACGTCCTTCTTAGCTGTGGCCTTCTTGGCGACGGCCTTTGAAGCAGGCTTCTCGATGACCTTCTTAGCTGTAGGCTTCTTGGAAGCCGCGTCCTCAGCCTTACTTATCTTGAAGGAACCGGAGGCACCAGAACCCTTGACATGCTTGAGGGATCCCGAGGCGACCTCACGCTTGAGGGCGACCTTGAGGTGAGTGGCGACGGTCTTCTTCTGGAGGTTGTAGGCTTGAACAATGTACTTCAGAATGGCCTGGCGTGAAGACCCACTACGCTCCTTCTGTGTAGTGATGGCTTCAACAATCATGGCAGAGTAAGAAGGATGAGTGACTACCTTCTTAGTTACCTTAGAGTATTTTCTAGATGTGATGGGTAATGCTGTGGCATCAGTCATTTTGGCAATACGAGTGATGAACTGATGTGAAAGAATTATGATATGCCAACCTACTCCTGCTGGAAGAGAGCGAGTGTGACTAAAATATACAATACATGTAGTATGTAGCCAGGCAGCGGACGCAAAGGTAACAGCTGAGAATTCTCACCCGCCCAGCAGAGGTATTTGTGCTTGTTACCATTACATTCTTAATATATTTAACGCCCTAATTTTCACTAAATCTTGTTCTAGACTTGCAGATATGCAGAAGAGTAATTTACCTTCATGTTTATGTACAAAACATTTACTTGCAATCATGTCTTATAATAGTTATTTGACTATTTCTCAGGAAAGTACCAGCAAAACACGCTTAATATCAACAATAAAACTTAAATAGTATAATTAATTAAGCCCTTCAACATTCTAATATAATTTTAGATAATAGAGTAATAGTCTTTCTTAAAGTTGACATGGTTTACTAAACTGCTGAATAAAGTATTATGTAATATAAAATTATACTAGTTGACGGAACTAACACAAATTTCTGGCTCCCCGCTGGTGGAAAACGCTACTAAAACACTATAATATTTTTCTCTAATTCTCACTACTGAGAATATATTAAATTATTATAATCCAGCACCTGTATAGCGTATTAATATGTATTCTTCTAATGAATATCAGAAGGATATATATGAAGAGAAAGGCTTCGTTTTATCAAGTCTTGTCCCTGAAGTTTGTTGGTGCCTCGTCAGCGGCTCCAGCAGCAGCAGATCTCAATTTGTTCCTCAATAAAGTTTCTATTTACAATATTCAGCAAAAAATATGCACTAATATAAATAAATGTCTCATTTAAGTCCCCAGATGAACTTCAGAGTTTATAAGATTAATTAACAAGAGTAAAATATCCTAGATTTGCGCCTCCGTATAAGAATCTTGGATGAGAAGAACTAACAGGCTGACAATAAGTATTTTCTATTTCTTTATATACATAATCATAAAAAATTCCCCGTTTTCTTTATATAATTATTTAAAAAAAAAAACTGCATGTTTAGGAAATAAAACTAGTAAATTATTGTACAGAGAGTTACGAGCAATATATTAACAAGACTGTCCATGAAATTCCTCATAAATATGAAGATTAAGACACATGTGCAACATCTGGGTATCTTTATTGTAGACGTTTCGCCATCCAGTGGCTTTATCAATACAGATTCTAGGACATAATTAGAAGACAGTAGAACTATATACAAAAGATGAGGGACTGATTACCTCATCTTTTGTATATAGTTCTACTGTCTTCTAATTATGTCCTAGAATCTGTATTGATAAAGCCACTGGATGGCGAAACGTCTACAAGAAGGATAACCCGATGTTGCACATGTGGATTAGTTTTTTGTCAGTCTTTGCACATGAAGAGGTAAATGAGATTCCAGAAATTAACAATTATTCAGTTCCTGAAGAATTTAAATTAAATATTATTACTGTCACGAGCGACGTGATTATCAAACAGATGGATAAATTGAAACAGAGTAAGTCCCCGGGACCCGACGCGTTGTTTCCCAGGATAAATTAGACACATGTGCAATATTTGGGTATCTTTAACGAGGAAACGTTTCGCCACACAGTGGCTTCATCAGTCCATACAAAAGAACATAAGTAAAGTAAAAGGACACAAGTGCAACTAATGTGACATTTTATTGTGTCAACGTTTCGCTCTCAAGGAGCTTTATCAAGCCGTTACAAACAATATATGAACACAGAGAGTATATATAGGCTTAGTGTGAGGTGAAAGTTAAGACACTTGTGCAACATCTGGCTATCTTTATTGTAGACGTTTCGCCATCCAGTGGCTTTATCAATACAGATTCTTGGACATAATAAGAAATCAGAAGAACTATATACAAAAGATGAGGTAATCAGTCCCTCAGCCTTGGAGGTGGTGTTTAGAGCACCGTGGTTGTAAAGATTCTCTACAACCACGGTGTGTTAGGTTAGACACATATGCAACAGTTAGACAACTTTATTCCGAAACGTTTCGCCTACACAGTAGGCTTCTTCAGTCGAATACAGAAAGTAGGCAGGAACAGTAGAGATGTGAAGACGATGTAATCAGTCCATCACCCTTAAAGTCGTAGAATTTGAGGTTGTCAGTCCCTCAACCTGGAAAAGTTCAGTTCCATAATCAGGAACTGAACTTCTCCAGGTTGAGGGACTGACAACCTCAAATTCTACGACTACTAGGGTGATGGACTGATTACATCGTCTTCACATCTCTACTGTTCCTGCCTACTTTCTGTATTCGACTGAAGAAGCCTACTGTGTAGGCGAAACGTTTCGGAATAAAGTTGTCTAACTGTTGCATATGTGTCTAACTTAACAACCTGTCGGTATTGTATACCATTTTCATGTTCACAACCACGGTGCTCTAAACACCAAGAATCTGTATTGATAAAGCCACTGGATGGCGAAACGTCTACAATAAAGATAACCAGATGTTGCACAAGTGTCTTAACTTTCATCTTGTGGTATTGTATACCTGTCTTGCACACTAGTGTGAGGTATAATACTACTGGTAGTAGTAGTAGTAGTGATATAAGTTGTAGTAATGGTACTAGTAATACAATATGGTAGAATAGTCAACTTGCACATGAGTAACAGGATATAAAAGCTGACTGACTGTGCAAGTTGACTGTTCTACCATATTGTATTACTACTAATACTAATCTTCAACTTGTCGGTTTTTCAAACCATTCATCACAACTAATACTACAACTTATATCACTACTACTACGACAACTTATATCACTACTACTACCACTAGTACTGCACCTCACTCTAAGCCTATATATACCCTCTGTGTCCATGTACTGTTTGTAACAGCTTGACAAAGCTCCTGTCACAATAAAATGTCACATTAGTTGTATTTGTGCCCTTTTACTTTACATACTGGTAATTCTACCTGGGCTGGTGGCTAAAGCTCTCGCTTCACACACGGAGGGCCCGGGTTCGATTCCCGGAGGGTGGAAACATTTCGACACGTTTCCTTACACCTGTTGTCCTGTTCACCTAGCAGCAAATAGGTACCCGGGTGTTACTTGACTAGTGTGGGTCGCATCCTGGGGAACAAGATTGAGGACCACAAAGGAAATAAGTTAGACAGTCCTCGATGACGCACTGACTTTCTTGGGTTATCCTGGGTGGCTAACCCTCCGGGGTTAAAAATCCGAACGAAATCTTATCTTATCTTATCTAAGAAAGAAGGAACACTGCAACAGGCTTACTGACCCATACGAGGCAGGTCCAAGTCTCGTACCTGCTAAAGCCAATGCCGTAACCTAACACTAGTTAGGTTAGGTCACATTCACTTAAGAAAGGAGCACAGCATCTGACCTAGCAGCACAAGCTAGTCAGGTCCAACTTACACCAACCCGCACCCACTCATGTATTTATCAAACCAATTTTTAAAACTACATTACGTTTTAACCTCTTTAACTGTACTGAGTAGTTTGTTCCACCCATCTACAACTCTATCGCCAAACCAGTGCTTTCTAATATCCTTCCTGAATCTGAATTTTTCCAACTTGAAACCATTGCTGCGAGTCCTGTCTTGGCTAGATATTTTTAGTATGCTATTTACATCCCCTTTATTTATTCCTGTTTTCCATTTATATACCTCAATCATATCCCCTCTCAATAAAGATTCCCAAGTATTGTACATGTGTCTAATTTATCAACTTGTCGGTTCTCTGAACCATTCATCTACATATCCCCCCTAATTCTACGCCTTTCGAGAGAGTGCAGATTCAGGGCCCTCAGCCTATCCTCATAGGGAAGATTTCTGATACATGGGATCAACTTTGTCATCCTCTTTTGTACGTTTTCCAGAGCATTTATATCCATTCTGTAATACGGTGACCAAAACTGAGCAGCATAATCTAGATGAGGCCTAACCAAGGATATATTTAGTTGTAGAACAACCTGAACACTCCTATTATTTATGCTTCTTGATATAAAGCCAAGGATTTTATTCGCTGTTTGGCGAACACTTATTCACCGTTGTGAATAATATTCACTGTTGTCTTGGTTTCATTCTACTGCTAACCAGAACTCCCAAATCCTTTTCGCAATCAGTAATATTAAGATTTACATTATTTAGTTTATATGTGGCATGGTTATTTTCCTGTTCAACATTTAGAACTTTGTATTTGTCTATATTAAACTGCATCTGCCACTTCTCCGATCACTGCATCAGTCTATTCAAATCATCCAGGAGTGCTCTAATGTCCTAGTCAGAATGAATTCGACGGCCTATTTTGGTGTCATCGGCAAACTTGCTTATGTTGCTATTTATCCCCTCATCTATATCTTTTATGTAAATCGTAAATAGCACGGGGCCCAACATTGATCCCTGTGGAACACCGCTCGTGACGCTTCCCCACTCTGATGACTTCCCATTTATGCAAACCCTTTGCTGTCTATTTGTCAACCATGCCTCTGTCCAGGAAAAAAATTCTCCTCCTATGTCGTGTGCCTTAATTTTCCTCGATGGTCTCTGATGTGGGACTCTATCAAAAGCCTTACTGAAGCCCATATACACAAAATCATATTCATTACCATGATCTACCTCCTCAAATACCTTAGTGAAAAAAATTAATAAATTCGTAAGGCATGAACTCCCTTTTGTAAAACTGTGCTGAGATTGTGTACGAATGGTATATAATACCGACAAGATGAGAGTAAGACACATGTGCAACATCTGGGTATCTTTATTGTAGACGTTTCGCCATCCAGTGGCTTTATCAATACAAATTCTAGGACATAACTTGAAGACAGTAGAACTATGTACAGAAGATGAGGTAATCAGTCCCTCAACCTAGGAGTAGGTGCGAACAGCACCATAGTCGTGGAGATTCTGAAGCAGAAGAAAGAATCCTGGCGCTTATATAGTAACGTCAGGTGTAGCAGACGAGGGCATATTCACTGGTAGGCGGGATTCCCCAGTGGAAGTAGGTCCTTCCCAAAGAGATGGGTTAGTTGTAGTACATAACCTTCACGACTACGACATCTACTACTACAACTAACCCATCTCTTTGGGAAG